AACAACACACAAATAAAAATCCCTGCCCTTTACTCATTTCTTTATTTAAAGTTATCTACTCTCGGACTTGAATTAAACAACGTTTCCCTGTGGATTCGACCCGGTATTTTACCGGAATTTATTACTATATCGGCACTTGTACACTTGCAAGTTTATCCCGGTCATTACACCTAAACAATTTAATACAATCGAAAATCAAAAATAAAAAACTAATGAGAAAAAAATTAGATTTACACAAAATCTATTCTTCCACAATCGATTGTTAATGCACAGTTCTGCTCTATTGTAGTGTGGCTAAGAGTCTTTACGTTCCTCAGTGAATGGTTTTAGGCAACCGCCTAAATAATTGGTTGAAAGGTGGTCTTCTCCCTAGCTTTCGTCTAGGGTTTGTCTTCTCTCTAACTTTCGTCAGGGTTTGTCATTCCGGTAGACGGCTTGTGCCTTTTCTTGTCCGGCGAATGATTCGAAGCGACAGTGAGAGGGCGGCCGTTACCATACTATGCCTCTTCATGGTTTGCTTCTCTATGTTTGATGTTTCTTGATGTGCGGCTATGGATCGTATGAAGGTCTTTGATTGATACCTTTGATTGGAAAATCGCCTGGTCAGTTATGCTCGACTTGACCAGCGAAGGGGGACGATTGGGACTGTGGTCGGCGCGTGTGACAAATGGATGGGACAACTAGATTGGGTCCTGCTTGGATGGAACTCACCTCAGGATGGAGCGATTGGGGGTGATCGAGGGAGGCAATTACTGGATCGAGTCGTGAGATAGGGAGAAGACAGATCGACGGTCCGCCCCCTCCTGAACCGCCATCCTGAAGCAGTAATTAGTCCTATTTCAAGAATAAAAAATATAACAATGCTATTTTGAAATTTTCAAATTGTTTTAGTTCTATTTAGGGATTTTCCTTTTTTTTTAATCCGGAACCGTTCCCACTTCGCGCACCCTTGGATATGCTAGGCGCACCAATTTTTCACGTTAAACTGACAAATTAGCCCCTTAGCGTTAATGCATTCTACACGTACGTGCTCCACCTTCTGTTATTTTTTTTTGAAAGATGCTCTACCTTCTATTAAAAAATGTTAAGCAATATGACCAAAGCACATCTTCATTGCCAAACTTTAATCTGATTTTTTGCTTCTAACCTACCTATTTTTTTGTTTAATAAAATCTGGGTGCTTTTCTTCTTTTTATACTCCGTAAGAAATCTTATCTCATAGGCACACCAAATTAGTATAATATGCATTAAAAATATCTTTAGAATGTTTTTAATTGAACTAAAAAAATAGTCTGATCTTATCTATTTAAGATCGATTTGATTTTGTTTGGTCTGAGATTGATATCAATCCAATTACAGAATCCTTAAAGTTACATAAATACATTGGTACTGGTATCAAATAAAAAAGAAACTCGTGAGTATATTCTAAATAAAATAATGTGAGTTGATTGGCCCGGAATTTCCAAGTCTAGGATTTTTAAATTTGATTTACTCTATTGAAGTCTAGCCAGATCAGATAAATTTCTAGTGTATGTATATTTTAAAAACGTATAAAATTAAAAAACAAATAGATTGGAAAAACTATAAAATAATAAAGCAAAAAACTAATTTTATATAATCGAAACACATGCCGAGCATATTTGGTAACTTTGAAATTGACTATATTGGTCAATTCTTCTGAAATTAATGAAATTCCAGCTAAAGTAGTTGAAATAGCCGATGCTGAATTATGAAAAAAAATTAAATTATATTTTATTAATAAAATAAAGAAACAAATGTATGAAAATAGCTAAAAATGATTTTATATAGTAACTTCAACCAATTCAGTCCGAACTAGCAATAGTGTACACAAGAATAAATTGAGGTAAATTAAAATTATTTCCCATTTAAATCTCCTAAATCTTATATCTACTTTCCCCTTCATTACTCTTCTTTTCGGGTAACACTTCTATCTTCTATCCTAGAAAGAACCACATATGTCGGAAATGACATTAAGATTAAATAAACAAGATTTAGTTTTAATTCACTTCGATAAGAAGAGCGGTGAAGTGAAAAGTGAGAGTAGAGATTGATAGTATTAAAAAGGACATTAATTTAAATTCACCCTAATTTATTCTTGTGGACACTACTTATAGTTCGGATTATTTTTATAGACACCTCCAATAGGGATTATTATTGTAGAATCCCTAAAAATATAGATTATTCTTACGAATTTCACCTTTTTTTAATTTTAGATATACAATATTGATGTGGCAAAAAACATAGTCTCCAAATGGGCTCTGAGGCAATTGTGCTCCACATGTAATAAACAACTAATGCAATTTTTATACTTCCTCCGTCCTAAATTGAGTTACAAAATTGACATTTTTGAGTCACACAGATTCATTATATTCACTTAATTAGAATATCAATTTTTATTTCAATTTTAATTTGGATTTTGCAATTTTGTAGATTTTAATATAGATAGAGAGAAATTAACTTTACTATGAGTTGATAAAAGATCATTTACTTTGCAAAACAATTTGGGACGACAATAGTATTTATTTTTTAATTCAAAATGTATTTATATTTTTAATTATTTAATCTTGATATATCATTGAAAGCACGTATGAAAGGAAATAGGAGTAAATCATAATGTATTTAATAATAACACATAATTTGAAATTTATTTAATATTTTTAAAAGGATTAGAGTTTTTTTATACATTACCCATTTAAAAGGGTATACGAAGTATAAGAAGTATACTTAAGCGGTTGGATTGAGAGGTCGTTTGGCAACCCTCATTTTCGGCTTATCAGGCTTTTCAGCCAACTTTTTTACCAAACACGCAAATTTTGCTTTCGTGCGCTGAATTGTGTAATAAGCCGAAAACGTAAGGTTGGCGTTACTTTTCTGGCTGTATTGGCTGAAGTTACTGTACATGATCATTTTAGCTATTTTTACATATAAATTTTTCTTTATTTTATTAATAAAATATATTTTAAAAATATTTTTTTCTTGTATCAGCAGAATCAGCCAATGCAGCCACTTCAGCCAGAACTTCATAAATTTCAGCAGAATCAACCAATACAGCCGATTTTCGTGCTACCAAACAGCTATATCGGCATGTTTACTTGCGACTTAATGAAATAAATGACTTGCGACTTAATGGACTTAATGGAAATCATGACTTATTCGTTCAGCTATATCGGCATCTTTACTTACGACTTAATAAAATAAATGACTTATTCGCTCAGACGTAAAACGTCTTAATGGTTCAGCTAATATTCCTGCTCAAAAATAATGTTGGAGGTGAGAATCGAACCCAAGTGTTCATGCTAGCCGAGTGAAGGAGAAACCAAAGAGCTACTAAAGCTTGTTGATGGTTTATGACATTGCAAAAATATATAGCGTATATTTCCAGTCTAGGCTAGAGGAGTCGCCGTCTGGCCACCCCATTTGGATGGTTCCCAGTGCTATTTTATAATGAAATTTTATGAGCATGTTACTCATGAAGTTTAGATTATTTGTAAAAAAATTCACTTTAAAATTCAATCATGAATGTAGTAAAATAAAATTCTAAAACATATGCGCCCATACACATAAAAAATGCATTTTTTTTTTCAAAAAAATATTTAACTAGCTTCACGATTTAATTTTAAAATAAAGTTTTGTGGAAATAATCTACACTTTATAAAAAATATGATCATTAAATTTCATTAAAATATTCCACCGGAAACCACCCCAAATGGGGGTGACCGGACAAGTCTCTTCTGTAACGGCCGGAGATGAATGACATAATTAAATGAAAATGATATAATTAAATGTACTTCATTACAAAAATGTATGATTATTAAAAATGTATATTTTACCCAATTACAGATTAATTGGGTAATTTTTTTTAGAAAAATGTAAATGACATAATTAAATATATATAATTACAAAAATGTATATTTTACTATATTTGAACACAATTATCAGGTTGGGCGAGTGAACAAATACCCAACGAGCTAATAATGCTTATTGGTATATTTGCTACATTGTAAAAATATATAGTATATTTTTGGTCTGGACGGGTTAGAAGAGACTGTCGTTTGTCCATCCCATTTAAGTAGTTCCCGGTGGAAGTTTTTAATGAAATTTTATGAACATGTTCCCCATGAAGTGTAGATTATATTAAAAAAAATCACCTTAAAATTTGATTGTGAAAGTTGTGAAATAAAATTGTGAAACATATTGCGCCAAAATAGATATAAAAACGCAATATTTTTCAAAAACGTATTTAAATAACTTCCCAAATGAATTTTAAAATTTTTTTGTGTGGAAATAATCTAAATTTCATGAGAAATGTGATCATAAAATTTCATTAAAAATTCCACCGGAAACCACCCGAAATGGGGGCGACCGAATGGTCTCCTCTAGAACGGCCGAAGGTGAATAATTGTTTAATATATATACTATTTTCAATTCAACATGATAAGTAAAAATTATTTATTTATTTCAAAATTAATGCATAATAAATATAATAATTGATATTGTTGCAACTACTAAAATAAAAAATTATGTATACACCATTTCAAATATAAGTTGAAAAGTTTATAACATATTTTTAATTAATAAGTGTACCTATGTTCACTTTTATTTTTAGAAAAATGCGAATGAAATAATTAAATGTACAACATTACAAAATGTATATTTTACCCAAATACCAAGTTAAAAATATATATTTTAAATAAATTACTAATTTATATATACAACATATATTCCAAAAGTGTATATTTTAATTGTACTGCAGACACACAATATATATTCAACACTTTTTTCATATAGAAGGGTAAACTGGTCATTTGATATAATTCAGCATGTTCATTCAGCACACAAAGTAAACAGCTTGTTATATCACTGTGACTTAATCCAGACAGATGTCTTAATCCATACAGACGTCTTAATTCACACAGGACTTAATGAAAAAAAAAGTAAACAGCCTCTAGGAAGTATACGAAGTATACTTGAGCCTGAGTATATAATTAAGGACAAATGTGTCCAATGGTGGTGCTGGAAGCAACACCCATCCGGAACCGAGCCGATGGAGGGAGATAGAAAGAGATAGCTGTAGTCCGGAAATTCAGCAGCCGGGAATTCAAAAACAAACGGCGACTGACATCGTTGATCTCCATTCTTGATTCGTCCGAACAACCAAGTTCCCAAATCCCAATTGCCCGGTACCCGTACAGCCGTACTCCGGTCCTCTCTTCATCGCTGGTCGAACCCTCGAATTCCAGAAGGCGCTAGCGTCAAGTCGGAACTCGGAACTCAGTCTTAGAGGGAGGCGAAGGCGCAGCTCGTTCGGTCGTACTCTTCGTCAGTCGCTCACGGCGGTCGCTGTTCGCACATGCTGTTCTGCAGCTCTGCTCTTCGCCTGTTTCCCTCCGCCTGTGCGCCCCTCTTCTGCTCTTCATATTTCAGGCAGTTTTATTAATTTTTACATTTGTTATACTTTTTTATTTTCAGCTTTATAATAAATACCCCGAACCTTATTTCCTATTTACAGAGTTCTAGAAATTAGGGCTTCCAGAAATTAGGATTTCCCGAAAGGGCTTTATAGTTTCTGGTTTCAGGCTTTCAAGTTTCAACTTTATTACTTATACACTCCCTCCGTAAGAATTCCCGACTGGAGTAGCGGTAGTTTAAAATTGTACTCCATATATACTAATGCATATATATTAAAATTTTGGAGTAATTTTGGAGTTAAAAAAATTGGGGGCGGCGGTCCCCACTTTCACCCCTTTGTGTCCATTGCTGCCCTCTGTTGCCCTCCCTACCTAATTGTGTTGAAAAATAGGAGAGAAGGATAAAAGTATTAAAGAGAAGATAAAAGAGTAGAAAAAGTAAGACTATTATAGTGGCTTTATATGAAAAATTTACTAATAAAGGAAAGTGTTGCAAATATTTAAATACTTCAAACAGAAAAGTGTGGCAAATGACCAAATACAGAGGGAGTATTAGGATTTGCAGGCCATTTTAAACATTTATTATTAATGTAATTTGTGATGTGTGAGTTCTGATTTGTCATTTGTGAGCATCATTTCCATCAACATCAATTTTATTGTGATTTGTTATTATTAATCTTATCATTTAATATTAATTCCATATTCTCATTAGTAATATTGTAGTATTGTGTTAACCCCATTGTTTTTAATAAATATAATGAAGATTGGTTTAAAGAAATACTTTATATCTATTAAATTTTGGCCCCACTGGATGCCAATAGAAATTATGGAACAAGAAAAGTGATTCAATTACCATAATTTGAATAATAGTATACTGATTTGATACATCAAGTAATTGTTTGTGCCAGTGTGCATTGAGTAGTCATTTTTTAATAAAAAACAAAATTTGATTTTACGAATGCAGGGGTGGCCCCGGCGGGCAGCAGGGCAGGGGTCGCAGGCCCAAAAAATTGGAATAAATTTAGGCCCAGTATTTGGCCCATAGTTTAAAATGGCGGTTAAAAGGCGAGTTTTGAGGTGCGCCTCAATGTGGCATTGAGGCGCATAGACTAGGTATTGTGAGGCTTAGGTTTTTTGGAAGATAAGAGGTTTATGCCTAAAAAGCCACGCCTCAAGGCGTTTTTTGAGGCGGGATTATTTTTGTTTCTTTTTTCCATGGTTGTAACATGAATAAGGCCCTGTAAATTTATTTAATAAAAGGCCCATACATTAAACATGTGTCCACATATATTTCGTAAACCCTAACAAGTCTGGAAAGTGAATGTTATTATAATATTTTCATGCTCTTTCATAATGATAAGAATGGGAGGATTTTGAAAGTAATGATGGAAGGGATGATGGTGTTAATGCTATAAGATATGATGATGGTGATAAGGCTATAAGATATGGTGATTAAGCTTCCATTTTGTCAAATGTGTGATGTGTTTGTTTGTGTGTTGATATTCTCGTTTTGAATTATTGTGTTTGATGTGATCAGCTAGATAGTTTACTCGCTACTCGGTAGCAACTCGGTCGAGGGCCGAGTAGCGAGTAGGACCGATTACTCGGGAGTACTCGGTGATTACTCGGCCTTGTATTAATTACATATAATAATATAGGTGTCTGAAATTATAGAAATACAGTAGTCTTAATATAGTCTTTAAATTGTCTTAAAATGCATAGAAGTGAATAAAAGGATAGAAATCCTATTATCCTCATGATAGAATATCCCTAACACTTTCTTCGACTTTGTTTTGCTTTTTTGTTACTCAACTTGTATTCATTCAACCTGGGTGTGTTAATATCATTAATTCATTAGGAATTAAAAATGTCCCATTTTGCATCAATAGATGTGCAGTTGCTCTCAAAATGTTAGAGAACTCAGAAAGATCCAGAAGAATTAGTGCAGTTCTGATTTTTTATTTTGCCAAACACCACATCTGTGTGGTACATGCTACTGCAGGTTAATATTATGTTAAAAAAACTACCAGAAGAAGAATTTGGACCAAGGAAAAACTATTATAAAAATGAAAACTTAATACTCCATCCGTCCCTAAATTTACTTCCAACTTTCCCTTTTCGTCCGTCCCAAAAAGAATTTCACTTTCCCTTTTTGTCAAAGAATTTGTGGTTCACAACATGTCTCTCCTCTGCACAACTCTCCACCACACAATTCTCACTTTCTTAATCACCGTGCCACTTTAATTTGGAAGAACATTTAGGGACGGAGGGAGTACTTAGTATGAAAGCTTAACAAGAGGAAGAAGAAACGAGGTAAAGAACTTACCCGTTGAAGCTCCTGCAGCACTCGCAGGTCCTCCCAATCGCAGCTCCTCACAGTCAAAGCTCAAAACGATGGCCGATTAGGTTTTGTGCGCAGGTTAGGTTTTGTGCGCAGTTTAGCCGTTTAGGTTTCTTGCGCAATTTTTTTAATGTACCGAGTAATACCGAGTAACTCGCCATTTTGACCAACTCATCGAGTTGACTAACTCGCTGAGTACTCGGCGAGTAACTCGGAAAATTAACTCGGGCCGAGTTAAGGTACTACTCTGCAAGGTAGGAGGCTGAGTAGAGAGTACTCGCCGAGTACTCGCCGAGTAGATAACCCAGGTGTTTGAGACTGTTTGAGCTTATAATTATGCATACCTATAGTTGATTTTTAGTTATTTAAAGTTTTATTTGTTGGTATATTTTGAGGCTTACGCCACGCCTCTCCGGGACAAACCATCTCAATACCCGAACTAGCCTTTTTAAACCTTGATTTGGCCTTTTTAAGTAAAAAAAAGGATGACACCCTATCCCTGAGGGCCCCAACCCCGACCGGACGGTACGTTGGGCGGATCTAAATCGGACTATAATCCCAATCTCAAAGATAGAGAGTGAGGCTCTGTCCCCGGTACTTGCAGAGGTCCTATGCATTTCCGTCCTATTCTGATGTTTTGATTTGGTCCAACAGCCTAGCGCAGTTCGCCCAAGAATAGTAAAAGATGGAGCTAATTATATCTGCTAACAAAGTAACAAGTTCTACGGAGTATCGAACATAGGTATAGGGATTGCAGAACTACCTGCGATTTCCGATCCGGATCGCGCGTACCGGGTCACGGTACAATCGCGCGCTGGTCGCTTGTGGTTCGCGTTTTGGGTACGGTGGATCCTGGTAGCAGTTTGCGTCTTTGTTCCAGCGGGTACGCCGATTCCAAGTTGCCGTTCGCCGTTCCATCCAACGTCCAACGACCGGCAGTCCAACAGTCTTGATGTTTGAATTGTTTTTTCAAAGTTTGTAGATGGTAGGCGACTGACGAGCAACTGACACGCTTCACAGTTTGTAGTACGAAGTACGAACTTCGTATTTCACTAAATGACCCGACCCCTGAATTCCTAATAGTGTGAAACGACTTTTCATTCTTATTTCACACTTCACCGTTCACACAACATAACTTATGTAAAGGCCTTACCTCAGTTGCAAACATTGTTAAGTTTGTTTAATGTTATTGAAGTTAATTGTTTAATATTATGCTTCGTATTAATTGTATTTATACTTCGTAAATTCAATATGTTTATGGTTCACCGTACCATAAACAAAGGGTACAGCGTACCGCGTACCGAAATCGCGTACAAAAGAAGCCTACCCCCCTACGTATCGGATTTCTAATTTTGGCGATCCGCGTTCCCGTTTTCGTACCGCGTACCGAAACGTACCGCGATCCATGTGACTATGGTATCGAATAAAACTATTCAAATTTGAAGACTTCTGGAGTCAGGACTTGGAAACACACCGGAGCATAGAGGATTGACTCGTCAGCATCAATGAACCATCACGTACGCCAAGTCGCCAAGTGGCCAATGCAGCCCCGCCGCCTGCCACCCTGCCCATCCTCAGTGCTCAGCGGTCTCATCCCTTTGGCGCGCTGCACGCCTTGACGACTGCCGCCTGTCTTCAGTCTTTCTTCTTCCGCTTGTAATCCAAGGGAAATGTGGTTTGTGTTCGTCCCATCTCACCTTCTGGGAGTTCTGGAATTGTGGTACTCCTGTAATCCTATTTAACTCCTTACTCCTGTATCAATTACTTCATAGTTGTTGATAAAAGCTTAGTTGATATGTTGATTAGTTCATATATTCATAATACGGAGTGTTATATTCATAATTGTTGATTGTTTTCTGTTGATTTGTTCTGCATTAGCCCTTGTTGATTTTGAGGTTAGTTGATTTCTTAATTAATTGATTTTTTGAATACTTGAATGTTGAATACTGATTAAGTTGATTTGTTGATGGAGAAAATTCATCAACAAATCATAATATTTTTATGAAAATGACCAAATCATTTTCATTGTCTACTTTGCGGCACTGGGGTAAATGAAAATGAATGTTGATGGAGAAAATTGCCTGCCGTAGGACCAAATCATAATATTTTTACAAAATTAGAATTGCCTAATGTTTGTTCCATCCGTGTCACACATGTATTCCTATTTTAAGAAACTCAATTATTAGTTTCCAAATTTGCCCCTTCAACTTGAGTAAATTGAGTTTGAAATTCCCCGGTTCAGGGGACGTACGTCCCCAACTGGAGACGCTTTCCCCCTACTTCAGGGGACGTACGTCCCCAATTGGAGATGCTTCCCCCTACTTCTGGGGACGTACGTCCCCAACTGTCTATTTATTGTCTATTTATTGTCTATTTAATGTTTGTTATTTTCTAAAAGTAAGGGTATTGTGGTGAACGCAGGTTTAGTCGAGTCTTACGCTAATCTTCGGTCTTAGTTTTGGAAATTCAGTACGATTTGCTCCTATTTGTAAAATTTTCCCTTGTTGATGTTGCGGTTGCCTATTTTTAGGTGATTATTTCATAGTCATTCATTTGTTGAATTTTAAACATTTACTTCATTTATCTGTTATGTAATTAAATTGGGATATTTAGTGTTAATTTGTTTGGCAATTTTTTTGAATTATAATGTGTTATAAAAGCTTGATTATGAAGTTATTGTTAATGACTTCACATACTCAGCAAGCAATGAATTTAAGTAATCATTTCCTATTTTCTCTATTTTTTATATGTAACCTGTGAATAAGTATTGTTATATTTCATATACTTGATATTAAAATGATATACAAGAAGCTATATTTATAGCTATATTTAGAGTACTAGGGCTTCCTATACAAGATATACAAATGGGCTAAGCCCAATACTACTAGGGTTTCCACACTCCCCCTCAAGCTGGAGCATATAAATCATATGTACTAAGCTTGTTACAAATATATCCCACTCTAGGACTTCTAAGAGACTTAGTTAAAATATCCGCAAGTTGTTCAGTTGTGTTGACATATTTTGTGATGATATGTCCACTCACGATCTTCTCTCGGATAAAATGACAATCAACTTCAATATGTTTTGTCCTCTCATGATATACCGGATTTGATGCGATGTGCATTGCAGCTTGATTATCACACGTGAGTTGAACCGGTTTTGTGTTTCCATATTTTAACTCTTGGAGGAGATGCTTCACCCATAAGATTTCACATGTAGTAAGGGCCATTGCACGATATTCTGCTTCAGCACTAGATCTGGCAACCACATCTTGTTTCTTACTTTTCCATGAAATTAAGTTTCCACCAATCAAGATACAATATCCCGAAGTGGAACGTCTATCCATCGGAAATCCGGCCCAGTTTGCATCACAATATCCCACAATACCATGGTGGCCTCGATCTTCAAACAACAATCCTTGCCCCAGAGTTTTCTTGATGTATCTCAAAACTCGGATAGCTGCATCCTAATGTCCAGTACATGGCTTATCAAGAAACCGACTAAGAACACTTACCGCAAATGAAATATCTGGTCTCGTGATGGTAAGATAATTCAATTTGCCGATGAGTCTTCTATATTTTTCCTTGTTGGGCAAAAGATCTCCCTGTTCTGATAAGAGTTTAACGTTCGGATCCATTGGTGTATCCACTGGCCTGCAATCTAGCAAACCTGTTTCCTCAAGAATATCCAAGGCATACTTTCTTTGTGAGAGAGCAATTCCATTTTGAGATTGTGCGACCTCAATGCCAAGGAAGTATCTCAACTTTCCCAAGTCTTTTGTTTGAAATTTGCTAAAGAGATGTTGCTTGAGGAGCGCAATTCCTTGATCATCGTTACCTGTAATGACAATGTCATCAACATACAAAACAAGATAAATACATTTGTTGCCAGCAGAATGTCGATAGAATATAGAATGATCGACATCACTGCGAATCATGCCAAAGCTGCAGACAACGACACTAAACCTCTCAAATGCACGTGGAGATTGCTTCAAGCCATATAATGAACGACGTAATCTGCACACCATACCAGACTCCCCCGAGCAACAAATCCCGGTGGTTGCTCCATATAAACCTCCTCGTGCAGATCTTCGTGAAGGAATGCATTTTTAATATCCAATTGGAACAATGGCCAGTGGCTCATTGCTGCCATGGATAAAACCTAACGAACTGATGCAATCTTCGCTATAGGAGAAAAAGTGTCAGTGTAATCCAAACCATATATCTGAGTATACCCTTTCGCCACAAGGCGTGCTTTAAAATGATCAATCTTCCCATCAGGCCCAACTTTAACCGTGTAAATCCACCGACACCCAACCACTGATTTGCCAGTGGGAAGTGGGACTAGGTCCCATGTGCCACTAGAATGAAGTGCCTCCATCTCAGCTAACATGGCTTTACGCCACTCCGGGTTGTCCAGGGCCTCACGTGTGGTTTTAGGAATGCATATATGAGACAAGTGTGAAATGAAAGCATAGTAAGGTGTAGAGAGGCGGTGATAACTCAAAAAGTTATATATGGGATGTGGGTTCAAAGTAGAACGCGTACCTTTTCGGAGGGCAATGGGCAAATTATCCTGAGTGTTTTCGGGTGGTGGGGTAGCTGATGGTGAAGATACGGGATCCGTCGTAGGGGAATCAATCGGCGTGGCCACAGTAGGCACAATGGGAGGAGGTCGAGGTCGTCGATGGTATACTTGTAATGGGCGGTCTACCATAGAAGAGCAATTTGGGTGCCCATCAGATGAGGGGTGAATGGGAGTCTCCAAATGGATGGGTCGGAGATATGAGGTGAGGTCCAAACATGATGGGGTATCAACTAAAGATAATGGATAATAAAAGAACGACTCGATGAAAGTGACATCGGGTGAAGTAATATGTTTCTTAAGTAATGGAGAATAACAACGATAACCCTTTTGGAGACGCGAATATCCAAGAAAGATACACTTTATTGACCTAGCCGACATTTTAGCTAATCCAGGGGTCGTATCATGGACAATACACACACACCCAAACACATGAGGTGGTAATGGAAATAAATCACGGTCGAGAAACAAAATAGAATAGGGAATTTCATTATTAAGAACAGAGGAAGGCATTCTATTTATTAAGTGACACGCAGTGAGCACAACATCTGCCCAATACTGAGGTGGTGTATGGGAATGTAATAATAGGGTACGAGCAGTATCAACCAAGTGTCGGTTCTTGCGTTCAGCAACCCCATTTTGTTGAGGCGTGTGAACACAAGAAGATTGGTGAAGCATACCTCGTGATGTCATGAATTGATTAAAGGATGTCCCAAAAAATTCTTTGGCATTGTCACTGCGTAAAATTTTGATAGAATGACCAAATTGAGTTTGAACTTCAGCACAAAAAGTTTGAAAAATATGAAATAATTCAAAGCGCTCTTTCATTAAAAACAACCATGTGTAACGGGAAAAATCATCCACAAAAATAACAAAATAACGGAAATCTAAAGTAGAAGTGACTCGATACGGACCCCATACATCTGTATAAACTAAATCAAACAGAGATGTAGCCCGTTTATTGACTCGTTTGGGAAAGGATTTACGAGGTTGTTTTCCAAGGTGACATCACTCACAATCTAAAGATGAAAGATTTGAGAAACCTGGAACCATACGTTGAAACTTTGAGAGACTAGGATGACCCAGACGGTTATGTAAGGTAATAGCAGGTTCAACTTAAACACAAACGGTTGGATCAAGAGGATGGAGATGATACAGACCTTGAGATTCATGGTCGACGCCAATCGTTTTCCCCGTACAACGGTCCTGCACAATCACAGAATCAACAGAAAATGTTACGGAACTATTAAGAGCACGTGGAATTTTACTGACAGAGACAAGGTTAAAAGGGGTGTTTGGGACATATAAGACTGAGTCTAATGGTAAGGATGAAAGTGGAAGTGCTTGCCCAATACCCGAAGCCGAAGTTTGAAGGCCATTAGCAAGAGTAATCAAAGGAAGATGTTGGTGCTTGGTAATATGGGATAAAAGATGGGGATTACCAGAAATATGATCTGAGGCACCCGAGTGTTTGAAACACAAGCGGTAGACATCCCGTGTGTGGATAAATGCATATTAACCAACTTAAATTGCTGAAATGCTGCATATTCTTCCGGTGATAGAACAATGGGAGATGGTGGTAGCTTAGCAACATGGGCTGAGGGAGGAGGTCTCCCATGTAATTTCCAACACCTGTCTTTAGTATGACCAATGTTATGACAAAAATCACATTTAGGACGATTTCGCCTCGAGCATCCTTTGTTGTTTCCACCTTCAGTTCTCATAAAAGACATTTTTTTGTTTTTTTTACTGTTTTTTTTTTTGTTTTTTTTACTGTTTTTTTTAATGTAAAGATAAAAGTAAATCTGAGTAATTTAAAAATTACTGCTGCAAGGAAATACTAACGCAAAGAGGATCTGTGAATAAAAGAAAGGAGCAATAGCAAACCAGAGAGCAATGAGGCAGCGGAAGAACTGTCTGCAGCGGAAGAAACTGTCTGGTGGAATAGGTCGAGCAACGGCCAGAGCAGCGGCGAGCGGTCAGAGAGATGGCGACGACCGATCTAGGCGGCGCGTGGGTTCGGCGGTGGTGCGTGAGTTGTCCGATGAGTGGCTGGTTTATGCTGTTTTGGTCGCCAGGAGTCACAGATCTTCAGTGCGTCGTCTGTGTGAGCTCAAGATGAGTAGATTGAGAGAGATCTGCAAAAAAAAGGTGATGGAACCTGGCAGTCGGCAGTGGCGCGTGGCAGTGCGTGGAGGGTGCAGCGAAGGTGTAGTTTCAGACGTGAGGTTGCGATGGTGTACTGAGGATGCCTGTAGGTGTGGTTTAATATATCACTACAGGAAATTGCTCAAACACCAAAGGCTTCTACTGTTCACGGCAGACTTTCTCGCCGGAAATTAGGAACACAAGACATATATGGCTCTGATACCATGTGAACAAGTATTGTTATATTTCATATACTTGATTCAAAAATGATATACAAGAAGCTATATTTATAGCTATATTTAGAGTACTAGGATTTCCTATACAAGATATACAAATGGGCTAAGCCCAATACTACTAGGGTTTCCACATAACGGTTATTCTACTTTGTTAAATTTAATAACTTTAAGTCTTTTCTTTGAATACAATTGTGGAAATACTCCCTCCGGTCCTAAATAAACTTCACACTTTGACTTCACACAAATTAAAGAAATAAATTTGACTTTACTGTAGAGTACACTGTTGTGACACCGTTTGGCACTGTTTGACACTGTTTGGCACTGTTTTGCACTGTTTTGCACTGTTTTGATGTAGATAATTTGCCAAATAAGGAAGGGAAAAGAAGTGTGAAGTTTATTTTAGACCTACCCAAAATGGAAAGTGTGAAGTTTATTTAGGACCGGAGGCAGTATTATTATTATGCATGTTAGTTTACATAGAAAAGGTTTTTATAAGTTGTTTTTACATTAAGCCCATTATAAATCACCAGTCCGCTTTCAAACAAACAGGACCAGCGCTGAATATGGAGTCCAGTATGGCTGTTGTGGGCAATAATTTGGAGCCTCAGGATGAGATGGAGTTTGAATCTCATGAGGCAGCATACGAATTTTACAAAGAATATGCCAAATCAGTAGGATTTGGCACTGCCAAATTGAGCAGCCGTCGCTCTAGGGCTTCCAAAGAATTCATTGCTGCAAAGTTTTCCTGCATTAGATATGGCAATAAGCAGCAGTCAGATGACGCAATAAACCCTAGACCTTCTCCCAAGATAGGCTGCAAGGCTAGCATGCATGTTAAGAGAAAGCAGAATGGGAAGTGGTACATCCATAGTTTCATGAGAGAGCATAATCATGACCTTTTGCCAGCGCAAGTGCATCTTTTTCGGAGCCACCGAATTTCTGATCCCATCAAGAGTGATCCCAAAATTCGGAGGAGAAGGGTGCTTTCCACCGTGCCAAACCAGTATGCCACCTACCAGATCTCTAGCTCTTTTGATAACATATTTACGAATCAGCATGGTAGGGGCCGTAGTTTGGCTTTAGAAGAAGGAGATGCTCAAATGCTGCTTGAACGCTTTGTGCACATGCAAGAAGAGACTCCAGGATTCTTTTATGCAGTGGACATGAATGAGGAGCATCGACTTAGAAATGTGTTTTGGGTTGATGCCAAAGGCATGGATGATTATGCTAATTTTAGAGATGTGATCTCGTTTGATATTTCATATTTCACAAATAAGTACAGGATACCAATGGTCTATTTCGTTGGTGTAAACAATCACATCCAGCCAATATTACTGGGATGTGCATTGATTGCCGACGAGTCAGTGCATACCTTTTTTTGGTTGTTTAAAACATGGTGCTTGGCAATGGGTGGGCGAGGCCCAGATGTATTGCTCACTGACCAAAACCTTGCCATCAAAGCAGCTGTTTCGGCAGCTCTTCCCAACACCCATCACTACTTTAGCTTGTGGTGTGTTTTGGAGAAGATCCCTAGGCATCTTGATTATCTTAGCCTGTGGCATGATCTTTTCATTGCAAAATTCAGTAAATGCATACATAGGTCACGCGATGAAGAACAGTTTGAAAAAAGATGGTGGAAATTGCTTGATAGATTTAGTCTTAGAGATGTTGAATGGATTCAGTCATTGTATGAAGATCGCAAACAATGGGTTCCTACTTTTATGAAGGGAATCTCTTTTGCTGGCTTATCTACTGCTTCCAGAGCTGAAAGTATGAACTCTTTGCTGGACAAGTATATCCACAGTGATACTTCCTTGAGGGAATTCATGGGAAAGTATAAGCTAACCCTTGAGGACAGATACGAAGAAGAAGCCAAAGCAAACTTTGATGCATGGCATGAAACTGCTGAGTTAAACTCTCCCTCGCCTTTTGAGAAACAGCTGTCTCAAATATATACTCATGAAATATTTAAGAAATTCCAAGTTGAAGTCTTGGGAGCAGCAGCATGCCATCTTAAAAAAGAAAAAGGTGACATGACAATGACATATGCTGTTAAAGACTTTGAAACTGATTTAGATTACAGTGTGGAGTGGACTGAATCAAATCTGGAAATATACTGTTCTTGTCATCTGTTTGAATACAAAGGTTTTCTTTGTAGGCATGCTATTGTGGTCCTCCAAATGTCAGGGATTTTCAAAATTCCAGTTAAATATGTTTTACAGCGTTGGACCAATGTTGCTAAAAGCAGGATATGTATCAGCGAAAATCTGGATGATGTACAATCCAAGGTCCGCCGTTATAATGATCTATGCCGGCGAGCCATAATATTGGGTGAAGAAGGGTCGCTTTCTCTAGAGAGTTATAATATTGCAGTTGGTGCTATTAAAGAAGCTATGGAACAGTGCTCAAATGTAAATGGTTTTACTAATGTGGACTTAAGACATGGCATGCTTTCGACACATGTCATCCAGGGCATTGAAGAAGCAAATCACAAAAGCACAGTTTTAGCTAAAGAGCATGTGTCTGACATTGAAGTTTCACCCACAAGTAGAGGGTCAAAAAGAGTTGATTCTTGGAATGAACAGGAAGGTAATGGAAGCCATGCTAATAAAAAGGGAAAGGTCAGAAGCTTTATGGTCACACATGTTTTTTTTGCTATCACTACCGAAGTAAATAAATAAATAAATAAATATCTACAATAATACTCTAATACGATTCTTGCATGCATTAGGGGCCATTGGAAGTGGATGCCTCAAATATCAGTACACAAGCAGTGTCTAACCAAATGGTTTGTCACACACTCACACTTTGAACCCCATTCTCAATTTGAAAAATACTTCGTATTTATTTGCGTTTTAATGAACCTACACATGCACTTGAACTTTTAGGCAAATAGGCAAAATAACACCTATTGTTTTAAAAAATTAAGTTTTAGTTCAACATTAAAATGAATGTTTTATCTGTTGTGAAATGGCAACCGAGTACACACCCCTTCATATTGTATCTCTCATAATGCTAACTTTTGTAAGGTTATGAAAAGTTACATTACCTTTGTCCCATTAGGGTTTAAGAGGTGTAATTTATGATAAAGCTAAGTCTTCTAATTATAGTAAATTAGTATTACTAATTAAAACTACAATTTAGAAATTGCACTAAAAGTTCTACTGAAACGTAAAAACGGAATTCAAATATGATAAATTTCATACTCAAAATAAGAGGATAAAAGAAAGCGTGTTAACTACATAAATAGTAACACAGTAAACCTTTTAGAGATGGATGGAGTATCAAAATTGTTTCAATAGGCTACAATCCGTGTAAGGGGAGCTGATTGAGACTGTGCAAGGGTTCCAAAACTCAAGGGTAAATTAATTAGGTCATCATCACCCCAGTGCCGTAAAGTCTCCCAGCTAAAGGTGGGGTAAGGGGGGTCACATGCATGCAACCTTACCTCTGTACTAAACTAGCATAAAGAGACTAATTCCGAATGACATGATGAATATTGCGTCAAAAATTGCATGGATTGACTCTTTCATAACAAAGAAGCGCAGACAGTTTAGTTTAGTGAGTCATTTTGCTTTATTCCATCATATTCCCAAACCAAAAAATTAAGAATCATTGGCTTCATTGCAAATGATGGAAAAGGTAAATTAATTAGATATGCAGTAAAAATAAGCAAGTGCTATCATGATTTTTTTTTGATGTTAGGAGCCTAGGACTGGAGGAAACATATAGCAGTGTTGTATTCATATGGTCATGTTACTGCTTTTTTATCGTCCTACTAGCCAAACATTTTTCAATTATGTGAATATCTTACTGAGTTTTCACTGGAGTAGGATATGTGTAGTAACTTGGAATGTCATACATTCTGCCCAAGGTTTCTTACAACTTTACTGACGAGTGGTGAGGGTAACAAAAGAAGTGTGGAACTGCTTGGTGAAATGTTTGAGGAACAAAGCTAAAGGTTCTATATACAATTATGGGTCGTGATCAAGCACAGTTTTACGGTCTTTTTCTCAAGAATACAATGTACAATAGGTATTCCCCATTTACTAGTTCATTATTAAATATCTGACAATTGCTTTTAATACAGTGATGTTAATTAGCACCCATATTGTTTTGAGATCACTTTTATTTCAATTGCGACTTAGGAGTTAGGAACTTCCGTCAAACTCTATGGAGACCTGGACAAAACCGGCCCGGCCCGCCCGCCCGCACAAATGGGCGGGCTTGGGCATATATATTTACCCACCGGGCCGGTCTGAGCCCGGCCCGCAATAAGATATGGGCGGGCTTGGGTTAGGGTGTAGGCCAGTTCGGAGTTCGGACTGATAAGCCTGGCCCGCTACATTTAGTATATATATATATATACTAATTTATTTATTTATTTGCATATACACATGTATATTTATATTTACTAATTTTTCTTTATACATATTTATAGTTTATTATGTTTAAATTTAAATTTTTAGTTCTTAACAACTAGCCCAACCAATATAATATCTATTTTTGTACTTAAAGATGATACTTTGTGCTTAAATTTTAAATTTTAGATATAGTTTCTCATTATTATTTTTGTGTAAGTATTTTTTTGTATGTGGTGAAAGACGTATAAACATTATAAGCGTATTAATTATTTTCTAAATGTTGTAATATTATTTTTAAAGTATTTAAAAAATGAAAAAATTAAAGTATTCCCGGGCCGGACGGCTCGGTAGACTACCCGGCCCGCTCTTATGGGCGGGTATGGACATAGGGTTAGGCCTTTTTTGCGGGCCGGGCCGGGCCCGCCCACACATGATGAGCAGAAAATTTATAAAAAGCCCGAGCTGAGTTCTGCCCGAACCCGTTTTTGTACAGGTCTAGGAGAAAGGTGCCTTAGGGCATTTACAATGCTAACCATTTGCATATTAAACTGCAAAATTTGATATGAAATACAGTGGTCTGAATAACTACCATAAGATTGTTAATTGCTTCATCGGTCATTCACAATCTTGTTATTCATCAAATGGATGTCAAAATTGCATTCTTAAATTGTGAATTGGAGGAGGTGTATATGAAGCAACCCGAAGAGTTTGTACTCCTATTTTATGCTTTCGGGGTTAATATTTGTTTCAAGATTTTAAAATTTAATGTTAAAATTAAACTTTAATACTAGATCTAAATTTTTGCAATGGATTCATCATGAACCGACTTGGTTTGGCTTACTCGCGGAGGATCATGATGATGTTGAAATTCCTGACAAGGATGAACCTGAGACCTACATTGAAGCATTATTGTATGTTGATTTAAAGAGGTGGCGAGAAGCCATGAAATCTGAAATGAAAGTGATGTGTATCAATCAAGTACGAAACTTGGTTGACTTGCCTGTTGGGGTTAGACCCATTGGATGCAAATGGTTTTTTTAGAAGAAAGTTGATGTTAAAGGCAAGGTGCAAACATACAATATTAGACTAGTGGCTAAAGAGAAGGATTTGATTATAGTGATACCTATTCGCTAAGTTCAAAACTCAAGTCCACTCAGATTTTTCTTGTGATAATACTATGATTATGAAATTTTACAAATGAATGTTAAAACCTCTTTCCTTAAAGGAAACCTCAAGGAGGAGGTGTAAAACCTGAAAGTTTTTTATCCAGGTCAAATTCTAAATCTGTATGTTAATTAGAGAAATCCATTTATGAGCTAAAGCAAGGCTCTATGAGTTGAAATATCGATTTGGATGAAATAATCAAATCGTTTGACTTCATCCGAAGAAACGAGGGTGCTTGCATGTTTAGAGTGTGCTACAGGGAAATCATGGTCCTTATAGAGAATGATATCACCTTATTGAAGTTTGTGAAAGAATGGTAATCCAAAACCTTCATGAATATGTTTTGGTGTATGGTGGATAGAAAAAAGGGAGAACTATCAACTAAGCCATCGAACTTTCATAAAAAGCGCAAATAAGCTCTTTTATAGGAGGCTTTGTCCGGCTGTCACTATTTAGGACGGTTTTCGGTGAAATTTTTTGATGAATTTTTTTGAGCATCTTCTTCATTAAGTCTAGTTTACCCATACCAAATTTCAGCTAAAAATTCAATCGAGAAGACAGTCAAATGATTTTCTGAAATATATTGCGCTGTCTAACTGCGTAGTTATCTTCAAAAATTCATTTGACTGTCTTCTCGATTGAATTTTTAGCTGAAATTTGGTATGAATAAACTAGACTTAATGAAGAAATTACTCCAAAAATGTCATCAAAAAATTCCACCGGGAATTGCCCCAAATGGCGACGGCTGAATAGAGCCTCCTATTAAAGGGCTTGTTTTCACTTTTTATGAAAGTTCGAGGGCTTATTTGATAGTTCTCCCTAGAAAAAACCATTTTTCTTAAACTTGCTAGGCGCTAGTCGGACGGTTGAGGGATGCCTAGTGCCTATGCGGCCGACTAGACCGATTTTCTGGCTGACCAGACCGATTGGCCGACTAGGCCTCTACAGTTAAGGCCGCCTAGGCTGATTAATCGGTCCGACTAGGCTGATTTTTAGAATAGTGGAAAAAACTAGTACTCGTATAATGTAATTATTATAATACCAGCTTCATGTATGATAGGAAGACTATGAGTCACAGTCAGTATACGTTTTCAGTCTAATGGAACAATACTGCTGAAAGAGTTGCAAGTAAGAGACTACTATAAATTTGACAACTAGAACCTAGTAAATTATTATATTTGATGCAACTTAGTCAAGTGTTTAGATACGTAAGTTTCTCAAAGAAATTAGGGTAGTTCTAGCGACAATTATTCGATAATTGGTATTGTGAAAATACTGGTGCTTTCGCACAAGTTAAAGAACCAAGATGCAAATAGAAAAACTAGAAAAAACTTGTAAGCTATTATGTTTTTATGATAAATAAATAGAAAGATGAGAAGTTGCAATAGAAAGTGTTCCCGTGGAGGATAATTTGGTTGGCCCTTTCACCAAGCCTTTGAAAAACGAGGAACACACTAAATCTTTGAGAGCCTACGTGTTACACGCATCGGTGATTGACACTAGGTCAAGTGGGAGATTGTTAGTATATATGTCCTACGGACAATCATTTTTGTAGAGATATATGTATGTAATTGATGACATTTGATTTTATATATTTGATATATACGATATTGCACATTAATGATTAAACATTTTGATTGTCAATATTTTATTCATAATTGTGTTTCCTTGGACTTATGTTGTCATTAAGTAAGTGGTAACTTATATGATATAACATAAAGTCTTAAAATAGCCCCAATCAATAATCATCAATAAACAGATATTGATGATATGTGATAAGATTAGTATGCGGACTGCATCATACTTTTAGAAAGTATAGTTGATCTCACAAACTATGAGTTCCTATAATTCATGATGGTCACATAAATACTTTAGAGAATAATGTCATACCCACCAAGAAATCATTTGATAAGTTCAATTCACGTATCTATGAAATTATCAACATATAGGATAGTGTAATAGTCTTCCAACCTGAGGTCAATACGTACTTCATATGTGGAGTGATGTACTTTGATCATGACCAATGCTTGCACTACAACCGGGTAGACACAACATGTATTTGGTGCACCACGAAGCACATGAAGATATGAGTCATGAAATGATTCATTACTCGTATCAGATTAAGAGAGAACATTCTACTTCTCATACCTAGATTAAGAGAGAACATATCACGAGTTTGAATAGTCTTCGAAAACGTCCTTATAATTAAGTTTGTCTGGAGAATTGTCTAGAGATTAACTAAGACCTTAATTTGATTAGTGTTTAGGATATAAGACCCTTTGGGTCACACAACAAGTGATTATAATTTCTGATTGAATCGTTAAAAGGAATTAAATATTAGTTGAATTAAATAATATTCAATTCGTAATATTGAAAATGGATTAAATATTACAACAACAACATCCAAGCCTTAGTCCCAAAAGATATTGGAGTCGGCTAACATGAATCGATACATGATATCACAACCAAAAGGAAAAGAAGGAAAAAAAGATAAAAAGATAAGCTATTATGAAAAGATAATATAAAAAAGATGAATATATATAAAAATGATAAAATAAAAAGGCTGCAAATAATGCATATATATATATAAGGATAAAAAAAACTAGGGAAAAAAAAGATGAGGGAAAAAGATTATCAAGATCACTCCTTCACGTGAATACCCGCCCTCCACTTACTTCTCTCCAAAGTCATGCCCTCATCCAACCTCAGAAGAAGCATATCACTTCGAACTCCCCTAACCCATGTCTGTTTGGGTCTTCCTCTCTTCCCTACCTCTTCTCCACACATCTCAACTCGCCTAACAGGTGCATCACTCGGTCTTCTACGCACATGACTAAACCACTGTAGGCGCGACTCCCGCATCTTGTCTTCAATAGGTGCTACTCCCACCCTTTGTCTGATTGTCTCATTCCTCACGCGGTCCTTCCTAGTATGCCCACACATCCAATGCAGCATGCGCATCTCTGCCACACTCATCTTTTGAATGTGACATTGTTTCACCGCCCAACACTCTACGCCATACAGTAATGCAGGCCTAATTGTTGTCCTATAAAATTTACCCTTCAGTCTAGTCGGCATACCTCGGTCGCATAGAAATCCTGACGCACTCTTCCACTTCATTCACCCTGTTCTGATTCTATGAGATACATCTCCATCTAACTCACCGTCCTTCTGAATTATGGAGCCCAAGTAACGGAACATATCGCTGACTGGTATCTCCTTACCATCCAGAGTAATTCCGCTATTACCACTACTTCTACCTCCACCAAACTTGCACTCCATGTACTCTGTCTTGCTCCGACTTAGTTTGAAACCCTTATTCTCCAATGTTTGTCGCCATTCTTCCAACTTTGCTTTAAGACCTGATTGCGTCTCATCAATCAATACAATATCGTCGGCAAACATCATGCACCATGATATATCGTCTTGAATTGACTTCGTAAGTTCATCCATGACTATGGCAAATAAGAAAGGACTCAAGGCCGATCCTTGGTGCACTCCGATAGTAATAGGGAACTCTTCAGTCCTCCCTACACTAGTACGAACACTTGTAGTACAATCCTCATACATATCCATGATGATGCTGATATACTTGCGTGATATGCCTTTCCTAGTT